TGCATTACTTTCAAATAATTATTTTTGCATTGTTTTGAATAACAGTTAACCTGGGCTGTTAATCTTAAACTATGTTAACTCAATCACAAATGATTACATTTTGTTCTTACACTTAATTCTCCTGAAATGCAGTCTGCTGTCTTGTTGCTGTACTGATCATCACCAACACTAACTAAATGAGTTTTGATGAAGACAAGTGAATAAATCTCTGGCTGATTGGACATCCTGTCATTTACAAAAATACAAACAATAATAAGTCTTAAAGCTTTTACTAGTAAGGTTACCCAGCTGATATCCTAGAGGATCTATTACTGTCTAAGTATTCATAATTTAATGATATTTATTTTTCTCACTAAAACAAGACATCCTTTCAAATTTAATCTATATTAGTTATCCATGTCTTCTCTGCCTGTCTGCAGCTATGCTACTCAAGATTAAGGTAAAATTAAGGTCAACAATCACCTGAGACTTTTCAGCAAATACAGAATGTATCTGTTCTTTTTTTTTAACAGAATGTGCTATAACTAGCATAAACATGAATTCATAAATAAGTGGTGATCATTTATTTTTGTTAAGACAAACTTCCAGATTTCATTAACAATATTTAAAACTTTGAGTGGTATGCAAATCAGTTTTACATTAGAATACCTCTCACACTATTTGCCCTCATAAAAGTTAAAATCAGTTGCTGGTCTCCTAAAATAAGCAATCAGATTAACATTTTCTAAGATATCAGTGGTGGGTTCTCACACTGGAAATCTATTCCTCTGGCAGACCACCAGAATTTAAATTTGGCAGGCTGTAGTTTAGTGTAAGGTTTACTTGTTCAATCAAGCATTCAATTAACTAACATGTCAGTACATTGGTCCTTTGTGAGGCACATAAAAAGCAGCTAAAGTGCACTGAGCCATCTGAATGGATAGTTGTGTAATTATTATTTGATTTTAATTTATTGTAAATGTCCATTTGCTCTGGCAATCAGTTCCTGGGAAATCCTTAAAATAATTGATTGAGATCTGTAAACCTACTAGAGGGCAGCAGATTTTCCTCTGTGCGTGATTAGAATTGGGCAAATGATTCAGGTGACCTTTTCAAAATTATTAGTTTTTTACCTTTTTTGTGATTAATACATTGTTTACAGTTATGGCATAATTTCTATGTAACTGCCTATTTGTTAAGTATTAGGGTTTATACAGTCTATGACTGTCATTGTTTTGGGATCACACATCATTCTCCAGCTCAGTAAACCAAGCTTTACTAGTCTGGGAGAGAAGAAAAAATGTAATTTCAGGACTTTTTTTTTCTCAGTTAGTCTCATTTTTGTTAGCTACTCCAGCAGTAGGTTAATCCTAGTTGTGTAAACTCTAAACTGGGAGAGAGAAAGGCATTTTAAGTGTGTGGTTTTATTACATATGTGTTGAGGGAGGATGAGTTGTTCTCTGAAAACATGGTGCTCTCTACTGCTTAGATGAGTAATTTAGACTATATATAAATATATATATATATAATCTTTAGGTGAAAAGAATTGGACAGAGGAAATCAGTCTCTTTCATTCCAGTTTTGTCCCACTTAACTACAGTATGTAAACTAAGAGCATTGCCATGCTAGACACCTCCTATAACCAATGGAAACTCAGGCATCTTCAGAGAAAGATGTAGCTTAGACACCCCCATTCCCATTAAGCACTTAAAAAGCTTAAGTCTATATGGATAACTGAAATCAGATTAATCAGATCTTTATGTAACAAAACTTTGCATTTTGCCAAGGTCTCAGAATAAATGGGATGCTTCTCAGCTAAGCAAGAGGGATAAGAAGATAGACTGATTTGCTATATTGCATCTTTTATACTTACATTACCTGATGACATTAACACGATGAGAATTACAAGTACATTTCTAAACATCATTTCATTGGTGAATGTTTGTCAGGCTCATATGGTACTACAGTCCCTAGTGGGAGGACCATTATGTGTTCCACTGTGCCATCTCCAACACAGTATTTTGTATGTCTGGTAAGTCCTAGAATTGATTTTAATCTCCATTCCCTGTTGCATTTGTGTCTTTCAGTTACGTATTCCCCCCATTCATACACTGGATGAAATGTCATTTGCAGAAGGATCATTCCCACTACTATCACCCCTGGCTTATTCTTCCTCTGACCAGAGTTGCATTGATTTTTTTACTGCTTTCTTCCTGGTTAACAGTTAATGATCACAGTCAATGTACAGATAATAGAGGTGCCAGTAGCCTTGTAGCAGTTAGCTGTGATCACAGAGAACTATTCTCACACACAAATACTCACAAACAAAAGTAATAACAGAAATCCCATAAGCATTCGTATACAAGGACACATTTATCTGAATGATAATGGAAGCCTCACCAAGAAGGGGTAGATTAGCTCATAAATCAGATTTAAGGAATACCTTTTCAACCTCTACATCTTGCATTCAAGATATAATGGGCTCATTTTTAAGATAAACTGCTTAGCAGCTACCTTTTTTACATGTAATACACTAGTGTTAACCTGTATGTTTAAAAATCCTAATATATTTAATGTTTAGTATGATACAATATTGAATTCTATGTTTTGTAAGATTTATTTTACAGCTATGAAAGCTTTTTAAAATATGTGAGTAATATTTCCAAGCTCCACTTCAGCTGTTTTCAGTGTTCAGTTTCTGACTGGAATCTGCTTGGGGGCTTCATTTTCAGGTGGCAGAAATTTGATGTTGTTTGGAAAAAATAACCAATTTGAGAGGTCTTCAGTGAAGTACTGAGAAGATGAGGCACCACAAATGACTAGTCACATTTGTAAAACACTGACCATTATGAACACAACTAATACAAAACTGTTTCATGTTTTGTGCTATTCAGTCTGAAACTAGTTCATATAAGATTTGAAATGGTTAAAAAATATGACTTGAGTTTTCCTGACACTATGGCAAATCTATTAAGCTCAAAATGGTACATTTTCCTTTTCCTTAGCATTGTTTGTTTCACTAAAGCACATCTAAATTTTGAATAAAGGTCTATGGACCTTGCAAACCAAATAGCTCCCTAAATATTGATACAAATCTTATTTCTGTTTCAAGGAAATAAGAAATATATGACATTCCTCAGCTGAACATGAAACAAATTCTTCCTCTGACATTTTGTTCCTGCTTCATTTCCATTCACACTATCTTGGACATTATTCTTAGGAAGGTCATTAAGAGCTCAAAGGTATGTATGAGATTAAGGATTTCAGGAGAGTGAAATTGAAGATAAGTTTTCAGTACTGATATCACTTGCAGTATGCAAACATTTGACATTTCTATTGCTCTTGGGGTGCATTATCAGCAAACAGTGAACTCAACTTTGGGTTCCTATGGATTAAGAAAAGTTACTAGCATGCTGTGAAATGGAAAGGCAAAAGATTATCCTCTTTATTTGGCATATGTGTGCAAGCTTCTAGCATGCCAAAACATACAGGCAAAATGTCTATAATTGGTGCTCCTAACACAGTGAAAGTTTTATCTGTATGTTTCTGAGTTTATCTGTATACAAAACATAAATATAAAAGAACAGCTCAATATTTCTGCCGAGCATTGCATTTTTTTTAACCTTTTTCTTCTGCTAATCTTTTTTTCCTGTATTCCTTCAACTTGAAAGAAAGATAAAGAAGTAGGAAACTCTTTTACAGCTCTTAGCTAGAGCTAATGGGGCCCAGGCAATATTACTGCCAGGATGAATCTGCATATTAACTGACCCTTTGAGTAGGGGTCTAGCACCTGACATTCTTTTATATTGCCATAATTAAATTGAGTTGATGGGTCAATTAAAGTGAACTTTTCAATATTAATGACCTTTGATTACACCTAACTGAAGAATCAATAGTATAAAGTCAGCACAGGCTGGAAACACTAATCCAGAAAGCCTGTCAAGGTAGGCAGACATACCATGCAACAAGGTTTGAATTTAAAGCTAAAGTAGGGCTGTGTCATATCAGCAAATAAACAGAGTTGTAATGTGTAGTTCTATGATAAACATTAAGAGGTCCTTGCATTCATCTAAGGTACCTATGTTCAATGAAGTTGTGAGTTGTACCTTAACACACAATCTAAATTTCTTAAAAGTAACTGTTGCGGTTGCTCAATCAGATGTTTTAATTGCCAACAGTATTATGGTGGTCCATGATTTGTTATACTGAAACTACTTGCAGTAGTAATACATTTATTTATTTATTTCAATAAAAGTATTTTATTGAAGGACTTTAGCAGGATAGGTGAATGAATTATTTTTCTTCCACAGCCTCTGGAAATTACAGTATTCTCTGGCAAGGATTCAGTTCTGACAGTCTCTGTAACAGTGATTCCTACTGATTAGCTTGTTCTTGGAAATGGGCCTTATATCACCCACAGGTGGCTTCACGAGGAAGAATTTGGGATAAGTCAAAAGATCCGTGATCTTTTATCAGGTGAGACAAAAAACTTAATGCATCAGGATGTGGAATAACTGGGCTATTCTACTTCTTGAAATTAAATTTAAACTTTCAAGGACTCAGAAATGTAACTCCCATCAATCCAGTCCACACGAAGCACTCTCACAGGTCTTGACAGGGCTGATTTTCACTCTGTATCCATTAGGTAAGATTTGTAAAAGCCATCAGCGCTAGCCTAACTGTGGCCCAAACAACTTTGGTGAAAGTTCACCAATGAGTTAGTTCAATGGGGAGGGTCAAATCAATAGAAAGTGCTTTTCAGAGTCTCACCATTTAGCTCTTGAAATAAACATATCAGTTCAAAGAAAGATAAGATTAAAAAAGTTAAGATATATCAGTGCCAGCCACCTCTCTACTTAGGAAAAACTATACAATAGTTGAGCATGTCTGAACAAGAGAACACAGCTAATTTCAGTGTTATGTTTTGAAAATATTACAGTGAGGAGAAAAACATTCAAATTACGAAAAAAACCCTTTGTGGCACTATCCATTAAAATATGCCAAAGAGAAAGATGGATGGATACTTCACTGGAGCATTCTTTTATTTATAAATACACAAGTCAGTAGCAGCACAGTTCATTCTAAAAGAGTACTTCATTATTGCAATGTGTAGTGCTCCTTGATATTTTTCCTCCAGTAAGTAGCAATATGTCAAAACTCACATATTTAACTCACTTCTCTTGATGTCAGAAGACCATGGCATACCCTAAAGAACAAATATTTGAATAGTGTTAAAAACCTGTCAGTGAAGTCTTGGGTATCCATCTGTTGCACAGATAATATACATACTGAAATGACTGCCATTTATTACCAATACTAACAAAATAGTCAAGACTTCTGGTGTGTGTGTATTCATAATATATACACCCACAGTATGTATATGTATATACAAGTATATATATTAGTTATATATCAATATGCATATAAATTTCTGCTTAAATATTTACAAACAATTAGTATATTTTTCAGGCTCAGTTTTTATATTGCTTTCAGATGACTGAAAGGGCATATGGAAACAATAGGAACATATGGGAAAAAAAGATGTTTTAAGACCAGATTGTGATATGTTTACTCATGTTGAATAGCATACAAGGAATATTCCTTCTGTGGCATAAAGTACTCTCCTGTGAAGAAGTGTCACAATGCAGCAGTTTGTATTTACTCATGCTATTAGATATCTGCTGTTTATTTACCCGCACCAGTGTCGTGTCAGAACTAAATCTGGGATTTGATTGCTTCAGTTATTAACAAGTTCTACCTCGTGATAATTTTCTTAAATCAGGATTACTCTTTTATTTACACAAACTGGGAACAAGTTCTTACCTCTAATGTATAGGAATTACCAAGAAGGATTATTGAGGTCTCCCATTCATAAGCATTATGCTGCTTAGTTTATGAGCTTAAAAATACAACTTTTCAAAATAGATTGCCAATGTCACTTGGTATTCAAATAGTGTTTAACCTGTGAAAAAATATTTGCTACTTAAGGCTGATGAGATACTGCATATTTTACTCACCCTATTTTGCCTAGGCAGTAGCATGGATCTCCAAAGAGTGTGAATGGTTTTATGTATGAGGGGTGCACGGTTACTCACCCTTATGCACCTTGGAGAAGAGAAAGAAAGAATAGAATTTCAAGCTTAGCTCTCAACACCTTCCTTGAACAGCGTAAGTTTAACTGCAAATTCTCCCACCCTTTTCTGTTGCACCCATGTTGGTTCCAAATACCACCTGAGTTCCTATCAAAATAGCTGGAATATTGGCTCTACAGCACTTCAGAGACTCAAGCCCTTAGACTAAATGCCAGTTTTCTATTTGTGCCCAACACATGCAACCACACAGCCACACAAGAGGAAGTCAAAGGGATGTTTGAAAAGCATTAACCCACTTTAACTAGGAAAATGCCAATTTGCATAGGTGATTACTATATGTACAATTAAGAATATGCAATTAAGGCCCTTCTGGTAGACATCACACACATGAGCCTTCCATTGAATTCTATAGGAGGTTGATGCTGAGGTCTTGATCCTGGCTAGTCCTACTCCTCGATTTTAATCCAAAGTAAACGTCACAAGTGGATAGATCTTTTATTTTAAAGATACTGATCCTGCAAACACTTGAAGAGGCAAGCAGTTTTACTTACAAGGATCATCTGCAGAATCAGAAATGCCTCAAAGCCCAAAAATAAAAATATGAAGGAAAAAAAAAAATAAAAAAACAAGAGAAAATGTGTCACCGTATAAAGTCTGAATGGCTTCTGCTAATGGAAGTACTATGATTCCTCCAGACACATCCTACTGAATATGTTTGTGTTTGATGTAAAATATTTAAAATTAAGAAATGGAAGTGTATATTACTAGCTACTCAATTATAAATCCTATCATGCAAATTCTAGTTTATTTCTCAAAGGTAGATATAGTTAAAATAACCGTTAATGTCAATGGCATGGTAGCATTACAATATACAAACAAATAGAACTTCACAGGTGATTTGTATTATTTAGAAAAGATAATACTACTTTGCAAAAGCGATAATGTAAAGTGACACAACCTCTTTAAAAAAAAAAAAAAAACACTGCACTGGTAGTTTATATCTGTTTAGATTATATTATATAATCTGGAGTAAATCCATTGATATGACAAGTAACAGAAGATTCTTAGTTCATTGCCTTTTTCCAATCTAACATCTACACTACCCTCTTTTTGCTTTACAAGCAGTTCAGTAAAGTATCTGATCCTGGTATTCATTAATTTTCTTTACAATAAAACTGTAAAAAAATCTGACAGATTAAACTAACATTGTGTCAGAGGATCCATGAGTATAGAGCAGTTTTACATGTCAAATTTGAACTCAAAGTACAGAGAAGTTAAATATTTCATAATAATAAAGTAAGCAAATAAATTCCAGACCTGCCATGGAAACACTGACACTCATGAACTAACAGCAGCACTTGATCACACTTTAGTTATATATTATTATCCTTTAGAACCTAATTCTGCAGTGAAACTGCCCTCAGCATGGTAGTCCAATCATACCTCCTTATGTATTTCTGGATTAGTTTTTTAGGACCCGGACTTTCATCCTTCTCCTGGGTTAAAAAGCGGAAAGCACACTATTTGCACAGCATAAGCAGCAACACATATAGCTTTTTAGTCACAGCCAAGTATAATTATGGACAGAACACTGTTAAGGTACTCTAGTAGATATCTTTCATAAAAATAACTAAATCTTAATACTAGCAGTAGCTATCCCAGCCCACTACTTCCTCTGTAGCTGCAGACAGAGGGTTGGGAACCAGCAAGGCTGAAGTACATGGTTCCACAAGATGATGCGTGTCTTGAGCGAGATTCAGCCCTCCCTCAACTCCAGCGAACATCGGTTGGAGTTACAGATGTTCAACACATTGCATAAACAGGTCTATAAACTCTGACAGATTTTTGCACATCACTTACCTTAATATGAAAGACACTAAAATGAAATGAGGCAGGATAATTAAGACTGTGCACACTCCAGCACAGACCAAGGGCCATTTCTTGTCACACCGTGAAGGCCGTGTCTTGTTACATCCTGCTTTTAATCAGAAATCCACATATGGATCAATAGCATATTGCCCTAAAAAAAATACACTATGAGGGGTTTGTTATTTTTTTTTTTTTTTTTTTTTTGGTCATTTTATACAACTATAATGATTTGAGAGGGGGAAAATATCCTAACAAATGAAAACAAAGTAACCTGGAAACATAAAATGGAGATGGAGGCAAAATTTGAGAGTGACAAAACGTATTTTGCTACCTGTTCTTACAATCCCCTACCTATCTGTACAGCCAATAAACAGTAAACATTTTGGTCATGACAGTGTAACATTTCACAAAGGCTCTCTATGTTACAAGAGGACATGAATTGAATTTTTAATAAAATGTTAGCCTCAAAGCAATTCAAAAGATTGCATTTTGAAAAGACAATCGTATCCAAGCAGAAGACATTCTATAAAACTGCTACCCAAATAGGTAACAGAAAGCTTGAAACGTGACACAAAAGAAAGATGTGCAAAGTATCCTAACACTGCAGTCATATTACAAGTCACTACTTCAAAAGCAATGAATAAGATATTTATATTTACCCTAGGTAGCTAGACTGAAGAATGCAAACAGATTCCATGGATATAATACAATTTGTCAATATCTTTACTGCTGGAAATGGAAATGTTAACTCAGGCAGGTCACTGATCCTGAAAGATGAGTATAATCAATTACATTTTTTACCTGCCAGTCATTCACTTCATTGCCTTTCTCTCAGCTGACTGCTCCTCTACCTTCCTTTCCTTTTTTCAAGGGACTGAACAACTTTTTATATGCACTTTTCACTCAGTCTTTTTCACCATTTCCCTACTGCCATCTCAGATTAACACTGCTTGTTTCAGAACTAGTCTGTTTTCTTCTCTTATTTTCACAGTATTGCCTATTTCCACTGTCTGCCAAGTCAGAAAGGTGGTCCTTCTGGTCTCTGAAATGCCATCTTAAATCTCACTTCTTCTCAAGGTCCACAAATTTTAACCACCTCCTAAACAATAAAATCTGATCCAAAGCTCACTGAAGTCACCGAGAGCTTTTCTGTTAGCTTCAGTGGACTATGAATCAGAACCAGATTGCTGTCAGTAATTCTGGACTGAAATCCAGCAAAAAAACCCACAAAAGGATCTCTATGGGTATGTTTGTTGTTACTAACAGACTTCTACTTGAACATAGTCATGGCAATACTATACCCTGAGTTAATACTATCTGTATTTCCCATACATTTTCTCCAGATGTTATGCAAAGGACTAAGGCCTTGATTTTGTTGTTACCTTTATCTGTACAAATTTGGAGCGATGCCAAAGGCTTCTGAGAGAGCTTGAATAAATAATCAGACTAGTTCTTATCACTTCCTTTATATACTATAAAATACCATTCTACATCTAGCTAGGTAAAACAAGGAAAATTGTTGTGTTTATGAACCAGGTCAGTAAATCATTACAAAAAAACCCTACAGTTAAAATGGCTGTTTAGATAAAGTGATTGAGTATTTGGAAATCACAGTGAAAACTTTAAAGCCAGTGGGTTTTAAATTCTCACTAGTGAGGACATACAATGATGTTCTGGCAAAGATCCTCTCTAAAACTGTATCATTCATCTAGGAGCAATTTGAAGAAAAAGCATTCCAGAAATCAAAAATAACAATGTGACTTTACTTCATTCTTTCCATCGTCACAAGCATTTTGTTATTTATTCCCTCCTCATGCAATTCTCCCTGCCTTTTTCAACCTCAGTTTTCTAATGTGTATTTTTTTATAAGGGGAAATTAAAATAAATTAGTTTTCCCCTCCCTACCTTCTCCTACCACTTAAGTTTTAATTTTTTGTGTCTTGGGTGTAAAGTCAGTGCCTTTCTGCAATCCCACAGTGCTCCCACTAAGTGATACAGGGAAATCAGTTCTAACACACAATTTGGGAGATCTAACACAGTGTAATAATTAAGATACACGAATACTATGTAGAGGACTGTTCACATTATGAAAAGAGCTATCATTATCAGACAGCAACTACTGCCAATATAAAGCTAAAATATTACACACTTATTAAAAGGTATGTTGTAATTTGAGACTATTTCAGCAGTAATTTGACAGCATTGACAATTCACATTTTTTACATCTTTACCCTATATTCTACTAACCAAGGTACTTTAGGGGATGGGATAAAAGTAACACTGCCTATTACCACATAACTTTGCCAAGTGTATCAGCAAACACAAAGCCAGTTAGCTGATGTTCACTGAAGGAGTGCAGTTTGCGGGGGTTTTTGGTTTATTTTTTAGTTTTGTTTAGGGTTTTCTGTGCTTTGGATTTTGAAGTTGTTTTTGTGGGTTTTTTTTTGTTTGTTTGGTTTTGTTTTTTTGTTTTTTTTTTTTTTTTAAGATATTTATGCCAACACTTTTATCATAGTGAAGTACACTCCACCCTCACAGCTTCAGCTATGGGAAGCAAATAATTTTTAGAAATTAAGTTACTGTTTGCAACAAGGTTGCTTACAACATTGTTTAATATAAAAAGGAGCCAGGACACAGAACATTGATAGGGGGTGGAGTGTATTGTATATACAGAAGAGGGGTATTGCTTCTGTTCTGCAATCTGACATTGATGTGGGAAGAGGGGACAAAAACAAATGCATTTTCTTTCCAATATTTAAACATGCAAAGACAAAAAGCTTATTACAAGTTGTATGCAGCTCTGAATAATAATTAAAAAAAAAAAAAAGACAGCTCTAGAAATGCCTCAGTAGACTTAATTTGTTAAGATTTTTTAAAATATATATATATTTAATACTCTGATCTTTCACTTCAAAACTTAGAATTAAGCAATGAGTGAATGGGATCTGAAATACAGTCAAGGCATTGCTCACATCACATTAAAAGGCATCTTTTAAATGCAGCTGTAGATTTCTAAACTTAGGCTGAACAGGATTTTTAGTTGCTTGGAATTTGAAATGAAAAATGAACTTGGTCACATTACATTTATTTCCTTTAAGTGGAATTGTAAATATGCAATAAATTGCTGTTTCAAAGAGGCAACATACAGAATTCAAACCTATTTGTTTCTTGCATGATTCTGTTGACCTGTGCACGAAGAGGTACTGAAGCAGTGGTGCAGTGAGAATCACTACAGTGATACAAATCCACAGCTCAAGCATGAGATCCTAGAGGCTGGATCTCTGAGGAGCAATGCTGAGTATACTGTTCTCCAAAATACACCACCTCCTTTAACCAATTAATTTAGTTTCAGGAAAACTGCTGATCACCAACTTTTTTCCAAAAGAAAAAAAAAAAAGAAAAAACAAAACAAAAAAAGCAGGCAGAGAGGGTGGGAGGAGGGAAGAGGTGGAAAGAGTTTATGCATTATCATGACATTTAGCCGAGAGCTGCAAACAGAAAGCAAAGACGACAAATACCTTAAATGTGATAGGTTTCAACCAGAAATGTGAAAGCATTTTCCCCTGTTAATATCTTGTCAGAGTTGGCTGGGACAAAATTTGGGTTGCAGCTACAGGCTGAAGCAACAGTGTTGAGAAACAAAACAAACAGGCATTTATCATCACCAGCCCCCCCTCCCCACCCCCCAGCCCCCGCTTCTCCTCCCAGTTAGCAAAGTATGACTGATGCTTTTGGTTGGCTGCAAGGCAAGTATTAGCTAGAAATTCATTTAGCTAGATCCACATCCATGGCCCCAGATGTTTAAAACTTATCATGGATTAAAGCCATGAAATAAAAATTTAAAAAAAAATTTCAATTTGAAATTTTATTGGCGTGTTGCTAGAATGGTCAGCATCGATTGACAGGAGAGACTTTGTCCACATACTCAGAGACCAGCCTTCCTGCACCTCCCCCCTCTTTTCTTCCTCTCTCTTGCTCTTTCATCATTAATGCTATTAAAAGCCAAACAAAATACTGGCTATGGGTGTAAAGAATGCTGGTTTTTTGGAATGTTGCCATGGATCCTGCTTCCAGTCGCGTCCCACGGAAAGAGGGTGCAGCCTCCCGTCTCTGTGGCAGGCTGGTCTCCCCAGGCAGTGCAGGGCAGAAGACAGACACGTACCCCTGCTACTCCCTATTCTTTCCCATCCACGATAGCCAGGTCTTTGATCACCCTCAGTTTGCCACTGGCATCGATCCTGCGCTTCTCGCGTATTAGATCCTCCAGGCTGTGGAACCTCACCGTGTGCACCTTGTTCTCCGCCAAGTGGATCTTGAGATGGTACTGCTGCTGGTGCTGGGTGCCGGCAGCAGCCTGCAGCTCCCCCCCGGCTTTGAACTCCCTTTTCCCGAAGCGGCACCAGGCGGCGAAGCTCTCGGAGTTAGTCCAGCAGATCTCGTCGCTTTTTAAGCCCAGGTGCCCGCAGGCGTTTTGCACCACCAGCTCCGCCACCAGCGGGCGAAAGCGGTACCAGCTATTCACCACCCGGCCCACGTTGCCCGCGGCCGCCTCGTACAAGCTGTCCTGGCGGATCTGCCCCTGGTGCAGGTGGATGATCTGCCCGCTGCCCACGTACACGGCCCAGTGCGGCGGCGGGTGCTCCGACGGCCCCAGGTAGAGCAGCTCCAGCAGGTCCCCCGGCTTGCAGAGGGCAGGCAGGGCCGACACCGAGTAGACGCTGAGGTCCCCAGCCTGGGGGCCGCTGCTGACCTTGGAGAAGATGCATTCCTGGCCGCGGAAAGCGGAGAACTGGGTCTCGTTCAGCACCAGCTGGTGGTGGAGGTGGTGGGTGGGCGTCTCCTGGCCAGGGCTGCCGGAGCCCTTCACGCTGTACTTGTCTGGCTGGCCTCGCTCGTCCAGGTCCTCCTCCTCATCCGAAAAGAAGTAAGCCACCCCGACGCGCAGCTCGTCTTTCTCGATCCCCGAGGGGTCCCCGGTCGGCAGCTCGCTGTAATTAAGGTGGGTGATGCGATCCAGTTGATTTCCCATCAATGACAGGGCGAGGCGAGGGCAGGAATCGCCGGATCTGAAGGGAGGGTGGGGTGGGCAGGGACAGAGAGAACGAGAGAAGCGGAGTGCAAGCGGAGGGAAGGAAAGAAAGAAAGAAAAAAAAAAAAAAAAACAAAAAACCAAGGCACATACAAAAGACTTCAGCGATTCCGCCCTAAGTCCCCATCCCTCCCCCCACTCCTTCCTTCCCCTCCGTGCAAAGAAGAAACTCCCAGTGGGGGCCCTTCCCCTTGCCCTCGTGGTGCGGGACAGGGCAGAGCCGCCTTTCCCCGGCGCTCGCCGGGCGGGGCTGCCCCAGCCCCCCGGTCCCGGAACGCCCGGCTCCCGCCGCCGCGGGAGAAGGCGGCTCCCCGCCGCCTGCCAGCTCTGCGCGGGGGGACGGAGTTGCCCCGGGAGCCTCCGCTCCCCGCTCTGCCAGAGGAGAGGGCTCCCGGGACGCGGGAGAGGGGCTGGCCCGGAAGGTCCCGAGCCCTCCCCTCCGCCTGCGCGCAGCCGAGCCGCGCCGGGAAGCGCTGCATGCGGGAAGCCGGCTGGAGGAGCAAACGGCCTCGGAGCCGGTACCCCTGTCCGCCCGCTAGCCCGGCCGGGACCCCGCAAGGCACGGGCTAAGAGCGGGCGGGCGGCCAGCATCCCCCCCCCCCAAAGGGATCCCTCTCGCCCCTCTCCGTACCCGTGGTCGCCCAGCGCCAGAAACCCCCCCCAAACTCCTTTAAAGTCGTCCTGTCCCCATGGGCGCTGCAGAGGAGGTGAGCTCCGTCCTCCCCGCCGCACGACCGGCTCCTCCGCCCCGCTCCGCTCTGGGCTGCCCGGCCCCTCCGGCGAGCCTAAGTACCGGCGGCGCCGCTCCCGAGCCCGCCCCGGCCCCGCTCATTGGCCGCGCCGCGCCGCGCTGCGCCGCGCTGCGCCCGCCGGTGGCGGCGGGGATCGGTGGCGGGGATCGGCGGCGGCGGCGGGGATTCGCGGCATCGCTGCGCGGCCGGGCCCCGCCGCCCGCCCCCCGCTGGGCCCCGGCAGCCCCCCGGCCAGACCCGGGGCTGCGGCAGGGCCGGCGGCTCGCTACGGGCAGGCGGGGCTTCCCCGGGGGAAGGGGGATGAAAGAGCGTACCCACCGCGGTGTGCCGCTGCCAAGGGATCCCCGCACCGGGAAAAAAAAAAAAAAAAAAAAAAAGTAATTTCCATAAAAAAAAAAACCAACCAAACAAAAAAAAAAAAAAAAAAAAAAAAAAAACAAACACCAACACAAAAACAAAACTGCCCAGCTGGAGGGTTGCATGTGTCCAAGAGTTGCTCAAGGCTGGAGGTGGGATGCCCCTCGCCTGACTCTAGCAACCTCAGGCTGTGCCTGTGCAGCCTAAACTGACCCCCCGGGTTTCCCTGGGGTCAGGAGAGGCGGGCATGTCCAGGGGGCTGCTCCTCACGACTCTTGCACGGCCTGTTTTAGGAAGGCACGAACTGCCCCAAGGAAGTGCCTGTCTCTTGCCATCGACTAGATGGGACGTTAAAATTAACCTTAGATGTTGACGGTAGGTGAGATGACTCTGTGTTTGTCTTTCCACATCTGGCCGAAGCAGCGGTCGTGGGTTGTCCTCAGATGTGACTAGAAGACATGCTATGATTGTCTTAAGTAAAAAATGAGACTGCCTGACAGTAGCAGTCCCTTCCTTCCTAAGACACATGAAATCTAACATCTGTCATCAGTAGTAGCTAATACCAATACACACTTTTACACCTTGTTTTGCATATTATGGAAATAAAACTCAGAAGTTAGTAGCTCATTTGAACACCATTTATTTTCCTGTGAGGCAGTGTCAATGATGGGATTGTAACCTAGTTCTTCTGAGTTCTTAGTCCTGTTCTCTAATCATCCAAACTGCTGAGAAGTGAGAATGTAAATATTTTAAGACATTTAATGAAAAAAATTTAATGGTATTCTTTTGTTCATATGCGAATCATATTAAAGTACCATTTTTATCTAGAAGTAAATTTACTACTTGCTTCACAGTGGAAATAGTTTTGTCATCTAGACATCTGTATTTCTGTTTTCAGTGTTTGTGGGTAATATCTCACTTTATTGCTGTCCATTTTACAGTCTTCAGGTTTAATTAACTGAGAAAAATAATGCCATCACTTTGTTCTCATGATAGAGAGACATAGATCCTTAAATAAATATAGTGAATTTCAGTTTCTCAAGGTACAAGGTCTATACTTAAGTTCATATGGGTCAAGTAGTGTTTCTTAGATAGATGTGTTTGCTTTGAATGGCCCTTTTCTTGTTCCATTCAAACATTTATATGGCTGTCTTTCTAGAACAGCATTTTTTTGTTCTCATTACTTTTTTAAAATATGCAAAGGCATCACAGCATAAATGGAACAGAAAAAAGAGTGTGTTTAGTGATATGACATTCAAAGACTGACATCAGTTATTTTTCAATGTGGCAATTATACTAATCTGTTGATGGTTACAGACTTCCCATGTCTCATAAACCCTGGGACTACAGCCTGAGACTCCAAGGAATTAAGCTGATTTGCAGCAGTTAAGGATGTAGCATTCAAGGTTTGTAGAACAAGAAAGTGGATTTGAAAAAAGATTATATAAAAAAATGATTCTATTCTAATATATGCATTTAAAAGTTTCACAGTACTAAGCATAACGGATGAATATTATTAATCTCTGGAATTGTGTAAATGCTTTTCTAATGATTGTCAGAAATTATATGTTCTTTTATGGCATGACCTTCACCAACTGCAACGTTTTAAATTAAATTATGAAAACACTCTAATAGGTTTAGAGTTAAGGCTGTAAAACAGTGTTTAAATATCTCATTTTTTTTTTTTTTTATGACTGTTAATATGCTTCATTGTTAAAACTAGTCCAAGTTGAAGGCCACTTTCCATAGGCCTTCAGCAACAATTTCTGTTTTCTAAACATTTTACATTTTTCCCGTTTAAAGTCTGAATCTTTTTAGGTTGCACTCGCACAGTTCACACTTCCCACATTTGCCAATCATCAAGGCTACGTGGAGTAATTTTTAGATAGTTCTAAACAAACAAAACATTATTTAATCTTTTCCATGCAAAATAGTGGAGAACAGACTGTTTCAGTAAACTGCAGGTGCAGAAGGAAGGAGTCTGGGTCTAAGAAAGGCTCTGCAATTCTAACTAGGTGGATATCTCCTGCCAAATTTTAACCATTTTCTCTCTGTCTTCCATGCTTTTGCAAGTCTTCTCAGTGAGAGTATTCTGCCTCTTGCCAAAGCACTTGCAATCCCTTACAATCCACATCTCTCTATGACCTCTATTCAATGTATTTCCAACACCCATTTTCTCATTTAATTTCAGTTCTCTTGGCTTTACAATGCTTCATCAGTCCTTCATGCTCTACCTCCATCCCTCAGGAAGAACTTTATCCTTCAGTTTCTCTTCAATCCCAGTTTTAAATTATGAAGTGTCAATAAATTGCCTTAAAACAAACAAACCAAACAAACCAAGAAACCCACAAATTTATAAGCATTGTTATATATTACTGTGATTAAAGGACACTACAGAAAAAAATTATAGAGATTATGTAAAATGCTTGAAATAGACCCCTCAGTTTGAAGGCTTCTGTTGATGTTAGAGGATGTTTCAAAAACAGGACACAGTGTCCACAGAAGAGTATTGCCATGGCCTACTGGAGATGCTTGTTTTGCATGAGCTGTTTTGATTAATATGTTTATAATTTCTTCTAGATGTGTTACTTCTGGGAGCTCACAGAGACTTATTTAGCAAGGCAGTGAGTGCAGGCTTGGCTGCTCTCAGACCATGGCACCGATCATTCTGTTCACATGCCCGTTGACCAGCTTCAGCCTTATTAACCAGGGTCATAATCTCTCCTTGCACGAGGACGTGGGAATTTACCATGTTACTAACCCTAGCCCATTGTAAATAACCCTAACATTTTTTTTCCTCATTCTGAGCATAGGAAAGAATAACATAACATCAAATGATAACATCATAATTTCTGGTTCTGTCGTGGTCTACTCCAATGGAGTGAACTTGCATTTTTGCTTTGCTATTTTTTGCTTTTGTGTCTTTTTCCATCCTTGCCATTTTGTCACTATTGCATTTATGTTTAATTTAATACAGTGAAAACTCTTAAAATATGCAACAAAATAGATACCCAGAAGCTTACTCTTTAAACCTTATTTTTTAAATGTTCTTATCATCTTGCCTTGAGCTGAGCTTTGGAGCTTTGGACCCCTGTTGCTAAAAGTAGAGCTGAAACCTCTGTTAATTTGAGTGAGTGGAGAACATTTGTGCAGAAATTTTAGGAATGCATGTTTCAATAAACAACCAGAGATAAAAAAAAGTGTTAAGTGTGGGAACTTTCCTATATATTATAAACTTTCTCTCGATTGTAGAAATCTGTCCATTACAATTCTGTTAACATTGAATCTCACATGCCTGAAAATTCACCTCTATTTCAGATTGCAATCTGTTCTACCTACTGGCACCTAGACATAAAGGTACCAGGAAGGATCTTTTTCACCTCAAGTTCTCTAAAGTGGCATAGACCATGTGTACTTCTCTTGTGCCTATATTCATTACAGTATCAATGTACCTAAGGTCTCAGAGGCATATGACATTAGTCTTTTGAGAAACCTGTGATCTGGACCACAATGGATGTAGATGGTAGAGTTGCTCACTTTTTGCAAACAGCTTTGCATACATATTGTCCATGTACCAGGGCAAGGCCATAATGCCCAGATCTGGAATATTCTGGGTAAACGTGTGTTTTGCCAGCCCTGTAGAAGCAGACACACTACATAACTAAGTGCAGTTTCTACATCTAGCTAGTCTTGGAAAGTCCCGAGATTTGATTCTTGAACTTTGGACAGATTCTGTCATATTTATGCAGTGATGGTGAAATATAAAATGTGAAAACTCAAGAAGATAGTTGTGGCCACGTTTTTGTCCTTTGCCTTCTTTCTGCTCTTCTGCCGGCTTCTGGTGGCTTCATGATTCTTGCATTCATAGGGTCACTTGTAAGTAAAATTGGCCAGAGTCTGTTCTGTGGCCCTGAGGTACAGTATAACAATATAATTGTCCAGCCGCTCTCTTTGAACTCCAAAATTGTGTGGCTGCATCCAAACTGCCTATTAGGAATTATTCCTAATCCATTTTAATCCCCAACCGCTATGGAAGAATAGCAGCTGGCCTGTGCCAAAGCATTGCAAAAGGCAGTGCTATCAGTTAATAGTATGACTAATACTGTGCTGGTCCTTGGACCTGTGAACTGCTGCTGTGTAGTCAATGGTTTAGACTTAACCCAGCTCCTGAAGGAGAAGTGAAGAGTGAACAAGTATCTTTTTTTCATGTAAACTTAATTTCTGCTTCCTGATCAGGTGATACAACCAAAAAGATAATGTAGTAGAAAAGATTTTGAGGAGATGTGCAAAGAAACTACCTTCTTTTAAAATATGTTTATCTTTGGAAGACTGTTACATATACAGAATCCCAGATGGGGAAGCCTCATCGCTTTTCAGCTGACAGTGAGCAACTGCACAGGGTGCTGATCAGGGGCAGGGTTTGGGGAGCTGCGGGTGCCCTCACCCCCACGTGCAGTCCCCCCAGTGCCCTAGCAAAGGGAGCAGAGCAGGGGTGGGGAACTGGGGCCAACTGAGGCCCAGCCAGGAGGTCACAGCACCCATACAAGGCCATCCCAACACAGGCAACCCAGCCCAGGCACGGGCAGGAGCTCCAATGCAGCTCCCAAGTCCTGTAGCCCCATGCAAGCCTCCTCAAAGCTTTTCA